TTTAAATTGAATAATTAATTAATATCACTTTGTGGATTTAAATTGATAATTAGGGCTTATGATCTTGCATGAGAAATGAGAATAGAATGGGATATATGTACCCATGTCCCAAGAAACTCAATCCCAATGGGGCCTTTGGCTTTTTAACATAAAACCACAATTACCCTATATTTTTCAATTGCACAAATCTCCTAAGACCTCTAAAAGCAGCTTTGGTTTTGGAATTTTATGCTCCTTTCATGATTAAATTTTGATTAAAGTAGCACATAAAAACAAAAAATCAATCACTTTTTGCAACATTGTAGTGAGAAAGAATTCTCAATTCCAATATTTAAAGCAACACGTAATTGTTGGCTTTGAGAGTTTTTTTTTAACTTTTTCAGCAAAATTTGTTGAATAGTTAGCTGAATCCCTGAGGGTATATATTAAAGGATTAAAATATGGATGTAAATAGGTAGGATATCTGCTTGTTTTGAGGTATTTTAGCTTTAATTAAGAAGGAATTCGAATTTTATTAAAATCTAAATAAAATCGTAAAATTCTATCCAAATTGTATCCTAATATATTACCACTATTAGTTAATTATTCGAATCTCTTAAATACCTAATTAAATAGATAATTGTTTATTATGAATAGGATCTCAAGGTTTCATTGTAAATAGAATATTAAACTCCCAAATCCATAAAAATGTTTGTGGAAATATTATATGAATTTAAAATTATAATGATCAGTTATAAACTCAACCATTTTCAAACCTCCTTTTTTTAATCTGAAAAATTAATTTAACTGGTATTTTGATAAAAAGGTCAAAAGATGAGTTTATTTAACCCAAAACGCCTAGGACAACAAATTGGTATAGATCAAGATAATACTAATGTCAACTTTTGTTTAATACTTATATATATAGTTAAATATTTGTTTTCTTTTAATTTAAAAACAAAGTCATGATGGAAACTCTATTTTAATAGGAATGTGAAATGCAGGTGTCCTAAAAAATTTAATATTAGTTGGTCTATCCAAGACTAATAAGACGTTTTCTTTTTCAAGTGATACACTTAATACCAATGCCAATGGTTGAATGTCTGTTACCCTATCAGAATGGTTCCTTGCAATCTTAGTGAGAAAATTGTGATGCATTATTTATGGGTTTAATTATTTGTATTAATTATAAATAATTAATAATCTCCAGATAAATTAAGTAAAGTTATGTTTGTGTGTCAATGATAAGTGCAATGAGTCAAATTATAAAGAATAAAAGTGCAACAAAGTCAACATCATGAACTGCCTGCTATTTACTTGACTCTTAGCTACCTTTGGTCTTGGGACGAAATCATTCTAACCCTCCACATTTGACTTTATAGCATATCAATTATACACAATAAAGACCCAAAAGACCCCAGTAATCACTAAAATGCAATTGGGAATTTGATATTAGGCAAAATGTATGTATCTTTAGAGATAAAATGTCGTGTTTTACTGAATTGATACATTTATGATTAACATCGATAAAAACCATTCAATCTTGAGTTGAAGAACATTGTTTGGGATAATTCTTCTTCCAAATTAAATCAATCCCTTAATGCTCCCTCCCCAAAAAAAAAATAATCATATTTTGTTAATAAAAAAGAATATTAAAAAAATAAGTAAGAGGGCAATTAAGAGTATTCATATGTTAATTAAATACATAATCAATATTATCTCATCTAGCTGGTACCAACTTTCCATCTGTGCACCTAAAAATAAAAATCATAAATGTCATTCCTTTTTCTAATTTTAAAAAAACTATGGAATAATTCAACACAAAAAAAAAAATCATCAAATCATAAATAAAATATGATACCCCACAATGTATCATAATGACAATTAGCTCACAATGGCAACCCTCATAATTTTCCTCAAACTCTAAGCCTTATTGTTGAAAGACCCGGATTTTATATATATAAAAACCTTAGTCTAAAATTAAAATAAAAAAAATTTCCCGTGTAGCACTAAGTGCCGCCGATGGTTGCCCACACTCAGAAGATTCTCATTCTCTTTACCAGATTTTCAAAATTTTTAAAAAAATTCAAAAACCTTATATTATAATTTTAATATAAATAATTTTATTATTATTATTATTATTATTATGTTATGTTAGCAATCTTATTCATTAACGAATGAATTGATTGCTGAAGGCGACCAGACAATCATTTTCGTCACATTTATAAAAGGAAAAAAAAAATATAAGCCAAAGTTCTGTAAAAGAAGAAAGGAAGAAATGTTGTGTCGCAAAAATTCAAGTTGTGAGGAGACAGGATCAGTACCAGTGTATCTCAATGTGTATGATCTAACACCAATTAATGGCTACGCATATTGGTTTGGACTTGGGGTGTATCATTCTGGTGTTCAAGGTTTGTACCATCAACTTCCTTTCATCTCTTTTTTACTTTGTTTATATGTTTTCTACTTGTTGTACTTGTGACAGTTAGATCTGTTGTTGGGGTTGGCCTAACTAGTTCAAAGGTTTGGTGTACTAAATCTTTGAAACTGGTGCTTAATTGAGTGTTTTGAAAATCTGGGTTTGTTGTTTCGTTGATGTTTTAAGGGAGTAAGTTGGTTTCTAGATATGTTTAAAGTTTAAACGTTTTTGTTAGATCCATGGGAAGACAGGAAAGCTTAGCTGAAGTGAGCTTGACGAAAATGACTTCGCGTAGTTTGGTTTTCTTTCCTTTTTCTTCCTGCTATCTGCTGAATTTATGGGTTTTTGTTTTTCCTTTTGGGGGGCAGTTCATGGGGTTGAATATGCGTTTGGAGCTCATGAGTATCCAACGACGGGAATATTTGAGGCAGAACCAAAACAATGTGATGGGTTCACGTTTAGGAAGTCAATTTTGATTGGAAAAACAGATTTGGGGCCTGCAGATGTGAGGAGAGTAATGGAGGATCTAGCAGAGGAGTACAAAGGGAATGCCTACAATTTAATCACCAAGAATTGTAACCATTTCTGCAATGATGCTTGCGTCAGATTGACTGGGAATCCAATCCCGAGTTGGGTTAATCGGCTTGCTAGAATTGGTACGAACATTGGTTTTTTATTTATTAATTTATTTATGTGAAAATGGGTTCCTTAATCAGATTTTGCTGTTATAAGGTCAGCTTACCAACTGGCATTTGATTTGTTTTTTTCCTTTTCTGGGTGTCAACAATGAAAGAATAAGAGTCAATGCTTTAGTTCAGTTCATTAAATTGGTAAATCAGCTGGCTGGAACTTGAATTTTTTTTGAAGGAACTAGCAAGTTTCCAAAGTTTTGTTTGATTCAGTTGGTTTTTTATAGACATTTGTTTGTAGGATAACGTGGAATTGTTCTCATCTGTTGTTCATTGTAGGCTTCTTCTGCAACTGTGTTCTTCCAGTGACGTTAAATGCAACCAAAGTCCGGCATCATAGAATTGAAGATAAGCCTTGTGAAGAAGCAGAGAAGAAGAAACTGACAAGCAGCTCTAACAGATTCACATCTTCTTCAAATTCTTCTTCATCTTCTAATTCATCGCCTTCCATCACTCAAACTCGAGGTAGAAGCAGAAGCAGAAGCAGAAGCAGACGTTCACTGCCTCCATCTTCACCTTTGATTCTTGGTCCTTCATCATCTTGATGATCAAAATTTGGGACCGTTTAATTGCATCAAATGCTCAAAAGAGGAGCACCCAGAAGATAAAAAGAAAAAGCAAAGCAAATCATTGAATTTTTTTGCATTCTTTTCTTGTGATTTTTATGATGCTAACGTTGCCTTGAGAAAGCTTTGCAGGCATGATATATCTGTACATGTGTATGTTATCAATTTTTTGGGCAAAGTGATGTTTTGTGTCTGCAAATTATCATCCCCAACTTGATGTCCTCCTCCTGTAGCCAGAAAATGTTGTTCCCTTTACCATTTGAATTGCCTTGGGAGCATGGGGGATGTTCATTAGGCCTATACCCCCTTCCTTTCACATTGCAAAACAATGTAATTGGAACTAGTCATGAATCGACCAAGTCATTATTATCTCTAATCAAATTTTATATATCAATAAGTCTATAAGCTATGCACCTTGCGCAAGGATCATTGTCCTCCTAAGTATCTTGTTATCTCTTAGGAAATGTGATTTGGTGTATTATCCACTTTGGGTCGACCCTGTTGTTCTATTATTAGCTGCAATGCTCAATGTTTAATGGGCAAAAAGAGGTGGGGGTGGGGAGCATCTATGTCAACTTCAATCTATTGCTGTCACTTTATCTTTTGTCCTTTTTTATTTGATATGCTGAACTTAGCTTTCTCTGGATACTGCTCAAAATTGAAAGCAAACAGTAATGACTCATTGATGACAATGGACAAAGCACTTTTTTAATTTTTCTTCTGCTTTTCTCACAGCTGTTCTTTCTTCTCTTTAACTTTTCCCCAAAGCATAAGTTATCTTTACCAAACTTTAGGTTCCCTCAAACATGTATCCCACCTTCTACTTTGGGAATCATTGACTTCTTCCTCATCATCAAGGGTGCAGTGATTTTTTTGCTTTTGCCCTTGGTGCTTAAGCTAGATCAGCAAGGTTTCGTCAGGAAGCAATGTTTCTCCTTAAAGAGAAAGGAGAAAATTTGTTGGCAGGCCATCATGAAAAACACTAATGGAACCAAAATTTTATGTTTAAAGGAACGAACAAGAGATGAGTTGATTATAAGGTCTTTGAGACATTAGAGGGTTTGAGAAATAATTCTTTTGTAATAAATTTTACTTTAATCACTAAATCTATTAAAATTAATTATTGACTAATTATTATGAAACGTTTCACCAAACAAAAAAATTTATAAAATTAAAAAAATATAGATTATGAAATTTTAAATTTTTTAAGAGGAGAGAAAACCATTTACTAACCCCCCAGTTTCAGCCACAGATTAAAGGGTTTCCAGAATTATACTGTAAAATGTCAACTATGAATTTGGCAACATAATTTGCTCATTCCCTTGAGTATTGGCTTTGGGGCTTTGATCACATTGCATAGTTGATGGACATTACCCCTTTACTTCAACTTATTTATAACATTATTATTATACCTACTCTTTTACTTGAGCACTAAAACAAGATTACCCTTCAAGAAAGCCTAAGATCAAACATATCTCAGCAGAACTACAAGAACAAGCAAACAGATAACGGTTTGGGCTCAAACTCCATACAAAAATTGATTCCCTCCTTCGGCCATTAAGAAGGAAAAGCCTTTATAGCATATATAGAACCTCCTCACAAGTAGCCAGAACATGCATAGGAGCTAATGACATACTGTTTTCATAGCCTGGTTTCTGCTTGATTGTTAGCTGACCATCCAAATGCTCCAAAACAAATGTCCATGTCTCCTCATTAAACATCAAGCACTCAATCAGAAGCAAATAAATCGCAAACTTTCCAGCACAGGGGTAGACCATGAAAGTTTAGTCCTACTGAGATGACCATACCTGCCTTAAAAGTTAATGGATATATGCAGACATAAGGCCACAAGGAAAAGCATCCAAGTTAGGTATTATGTTTTTTGCATTTTGGTTAAATCCAAATCATATGCTCCAAAGGGTTACCTAAAGTTTGATTACCCACGACAAATCCAAGGCCCTTCTCACAAACATTACATGTAGCAGTGATTGGTAACTATCAAGCACAAATCTTGTCAAGGCATATGCAGGCGAGACAGAGCTGTTTCATTCAGACATGTTTCATACAAAGAATTGACAGAGGTAATCAATAAAATGGAATCACAACCATATGAGATAGCATAATGGCTACATCAGAAAGCTACATTTCCCTCACAAAAGCTGACGCTTACCAGGCCTGATGCCCAACAACCAGATTGCTAGGGGGTGCCCTAACAAACTTATTTGCAGCTAAAAATGCTGGCTCCTGATGACTGCCCAACTGGTACGTGCACATAAATTGCAGCGTTTTAGAAAATGGGGATGGTATTGACAAATTGCAGGGCTATATGGAAGAATTATTCCAATTTGGTTAATGAAATCGACTCACAGTTAAGAGGATGGTACGATGAAGAGAAAAATGTCGATATAATCCATCCCTAGAAGGATCATCCCCAACGGTTGGATCTTAGCATCATTAGCTCACATGCTTAGAATGAAGCCAGCACCTGTCACGACTTCCTGGTGAGACAGGGGTACCAGTTGTGGGGAGATTGTGTCGTGTATTACGTTGCTGTTATTTGCTCAACAGAGTCTCCTACCCCATAGATATTCTATGAAAGAAAAAAAATGAAAATTTGAACGAAAAACAATACCTTCTCGGAAAAACATAGCTGAATAATATATATATATATATATATATATAAAGCAGAATAAAACTGGCCAAACGTTACATCTCTGTAATCTGATGAATAATTTTGTTAATCATATAACATCACAATCCAACTGCTTCCAAGATGAAGACAAATCATTAAAATAAATCTAGTTGGGCACAGTTTAGAAGTACTACCGGTGGAAGCCACAATAGAAATACACTTCAAACATATTGAGACAGTCTCCAGCATATTTGCAGCATGAAGAAGTAATTTTGAAAGGTAAGTTTTGATGACGACTTTCATGTTTTGAAGTAAAAAAGACATAAAAAGCAGCTGGAGAAGCTTGGTTCCGTACTTCGAACATTCCTGACAGCAGATTATTCACAATGAAATTTTATTAAAGAATGACATGCTCACACAATTTTTCAAGTCAACTTACTTATGCCCAAATCAAAGGCTCTAGAAATAGGGAACAAAGAAAAGGAGGAGGGATTAAACTTTAAAAATCACCTGCTTTCATAAAGATGGAGTTTACAGCTGAGAATCAAGTTGACCAAACCACATAAGTTTTAGCTTTGCTTCGCCTGCATCCATTCTACAAAATTGTCCAGGATCAAAGGCCAAGCAAGGTCTGGATTATAATTTTTAAGGTCTGGGAAACTTATCTGTTAAATATCAAAAAGGAAAAAAAAGGTAAGCAATTGCTCAATAATTAACATAAGGTGGATCCCCAACAAGATAAATGGCTGATAGAATGGGTTATTACGCCAAACAATGTGCAAGGATGCAAGTAGCAATCTGAGTGTACATGATGCATGAGAAATTTTCATGAGAACTACAACATTATATTCTTTTTTTTTTCTTCTCCTCTATCTTTCCATATGATAAAAAATGGGTAAAATATACAAGTCCCCTATTGGCCATAATTACACGCGGGTCCAGTAGTTTTCAAAATAAACACTCCAGCCCAAATGTGCAAATGGTGTTAATGTCTAAAATGTCTTTATTCTTTTTTTACTCTTTTCCTTTCTTTCAGGCCGGCTGGCAATGCTTCCTAACCCTAGCCAGCCACCCTAATGGAGCACTAGATTGGTGCTGCCCAGTGCTCTCCTGGGGAGCACCAGATCCACCCATGGGGTGACTGACCAGCGGGAGGTAGTATAGAGTTTTTTCTTTTTCTTGAAAAAATTATAGTTTAGTAATTTTTAAAATTAATGACAGGTAAAACTGTCCTTTCAATATTAACACGTCATCAAATTAACGGAAACATTAACGGTTGACAAACAGCTAGACTTATAAGTTCAGTGGAAGATATTCTTTTGGGGTGAACTACACATTTCGAAAACTAATAGACCTGTGTAGAATTATGATTAAAACTTAAAGGTATTAGTGTATTTTACCCTAAAAAAATGGTTACTGTATTATCTAAATTGACAATTGAATTGTAATTCGCAGGACCCTTAATTTATAGAACTCAAAAGACCAATCCATTCCTACTAATTATATTATGTCCCAATTTTTATGCCAATGCAAAAATCCTGTGTTGTCATTCCATATTTCCAAGAACTGGTAATTTTAACTACTAAAGAAAAAGTATTCCTACTAATTATATTATGTCCCAACTTTTTATTTCAAAGCAAAAATCCTTTGTGTTGTCATTCCATATTTCCAAGAACTGGTAATTTTAACTACTAAAGAAAAAGTACACCAAGTGGTTTAAAAATCACTTCAGGCCCAAAAATATGCATACTTTCATCAATGAAAAAAAAAAAATCAGAACGGATGAAAGGCAATGGAAAGAACAGAAAAGAGACCTATAAAACTCTCATGACAAAGGGTCAATTACAACACACAACCTGCAGGAAGTGAGTGCATCCCTTCAGTGCCATGAGGATTCTGCCAAACACAACTCAATTGCTGTGATGTCTTCAAATACGGAAGCAGTGAGTGTGGCATCACATTGCCGTTTACCCCTTCATTAAGAAGTAGATTATTTAAAAGATTTTAGTATAATTCTCTAAGTCACTGCAGAATTTTTGGTTTTCCTAAAAGTGATTTCTGTGTGAGCACATCTTATGAAATGCACAGAATTATTCCCTGACACTACTTATAATGGAGCATCTAAACTTGCGGAACACAATAGCAAATTCCAAAAAAAGTGTTAAATGGTGACGTACCTCATTGCAGAACCGAAAAAAGCCCATCCATTGATCCAAGTTTATGACCTTATAATCACTCTGAATCTGCATTAACAACATGAACATGGTATGAGGGATATTTTCTTCACTTTTTTGAGGTTTAATAGAAGCATAAGTGTTAAATATTTAGCATCACACACATTATAACTGGGCAACTCTGTAATCTAGCCTATCAGATTGTTAGATTCATTTCTGCAACCTTTGAGCTAAAAGATTAAACATTTAAGAAAGAAAATTAACCCTACTTTTTCACAGAAAATTTTGAAGAGACCATCAGAATAACAATGCAATCCAAGCAGAAAAAGACTAGATAGAATTCTTGAACAAGTATATTATAAAATACTAGCAGCTAAAACTGAAACGAATTCATTCCCCACAACAAAAGATGAAGATGTGCGTGTATAAACAGTTGCAATCTCTGAAGTCAGGTACAATAATTGTAGCAACCCACCTTCAAATAGTCAACAAAATAGTCAACCTGCGCACGGAATTGGGATCCCAAAACAAGATCCAGCAATTGACATATGCTCTCTATATCTATACTCTTTTGTTTCTCCTCTGCAGTAGTAAATTCAAGAAAGTAAGCAAAAGCACCAACAGAAAAAAAGAGACAATATTTGTGCATTCAAAATACATGCCAGAATATTATCATAATACCTGTCAGGCAATAGCGGAATGAATAGGAATAGAAATCCACAAAGTTTGATGGCCTCCTGACCTATATAATATGAAAAAAGAACATCAGCACTTTACAGACTTTTCCATCATAATTATCGTACTTATGAAATCTGCTTTCAGATATCAAGCCATTCAGAATTTTCTACCTCTTTCTCTAGCTCTGGGAGGGCCTTCCTTAGTTTACTTACAGTGTCAGCCCTCAGTGCTTTCAATCCTCTTCGCCATTCCTCCTATAAAAATAAGATTCAAGTGTCATTTTTCAACAGATAATCTAACTACAAACATGTACAAAAACATACAAATACATATACACATATATAAAGAGAGCCTGGGATCTGAACCAGTATATTAATAGTTACACAATATAATGCATCTACCAACCTATATTTATGCTATTATGATCCTGTCAACGAGGAACGTGACTGTACTAAGAAGAAGAACCTTTTGTCTATAAAACTCATATTTTCAAGACTCTCAAATATCATATGATCAAATCACAAAGATTGGAGACTGATCAAAATGAGTTCAATTTAAAACAAAAAAAAAAAGAGAACAGCAACTAACTAAACAATTTAAAAAAACAGAAATCCAGGCATCCCCATAGAGAGTACATGCTAAAGCCAACCTAAATTAGAGATTGGAAACTGATTATTTCATGTGACTGCACCATGACACAGAAGAAAAACAATGAGAGGACATGAAACCTAATAGCAATTTTATCAACTGAAAATTCAACAGATAACACAAATTATAATTATAAAAGTAAATGTAGATGCAACAACAAAAATTCTTACCAGGGTAAAGTATCCTTGTTTTTCAGCTCTCATTTTCCTGACACATGCACATGTAGTTTCAACACATGAGCTTAGGCTACAAGCTGCAAAATGAGTTACTGAACAAGTTTATATAACACTTACCAAGCAAGCATCAAGATCCTAACATCTGTGTGATCGACTTTCATATCGGAACATAGAGTTTCAATCCCTTCTGGGCTGTTCAAGTAATATATCACAAGATTAGAATATATTTGAAATTAATTAAGAGAACATTAGTTTCTATAATGGCGACACTAATTTTTAATGCCTGTCACATTATAAATTATGCAAAAATTGAATTCCAATTTCCAGCAACTTTATTTTAGCTTTCTGTAAGAGTCTTAAGACAGTATTAAGGATTTCTAGAGTAAAGTTAACAATATTTTTGTGCATGACCTCTTCCCTGAACTTATTCCATTATTATCTGGGCAATTCCATTCTATGTTGCTCTAACATTTCAGTCCTAAAGTACCCATGTCTGACACGTATCTCTGGGCATAGGTATGGAGTTCAGACCTTCCAAGGGAAAACTTGGAAAAGATGAAACGTATCCATACTAGGGAAAACTTGGAAAAGATGAAACGTATACGTACTGGACATATACCCATATCCGGCTCTCACTACCAAGTCTGAGCAACATGGGGACTTAGCTAGTGCAGAAAACCAGTTAGCTTGAATTGCTTTTGGAGAAACTGATCATCCAATCATTCTTCAAATTGATACAAGCAAAATTACTCACTAAGTTTCTCTTAAGCAGAAACCAGCACCATCTACTTTATAGAAAACTTTCCTCTGAACTTCATCACACTGCTCCATAGAAAAAATGAATCCTATATTCACAGCTTAAATAAAAGAATTACTTGTTATGCTCTAATGCGTTACTGGTTTATTGTGAAACCTTCTTTCATAAATGGAACTGTAAATAAATTTCTTTTTTTGAAATTTGAACTTAATAATATATACTTTGAAAATTAAAGTGGGATATTTTTTAAAAAATATTTAAACTGTCGCTTATATGCACACTAAGTCCACTAGAGCACTAATTTTGGGACAAGAATACTAGCAAAACCCACATAATTCAGACTGGGCCTAGGATCCCTAAATTAACATTAATCATAAGTGGGAAAACTTTTATAGGGCTTGATCACTCTAATAGTTCTACTAAATAAACCAACAAGATAAAATCTGTAGGTATATGATGATATTGACTGAACTTTACACCTTTTAACGAGCAAAACATTTGAAAAATGGTAGGCATATTTCTTTACATGTAACATATTAATTATAATAAAAATCCATACAACAGCAATGAAATTCTCCAAAATTAGAAAGGCAAACACTAATATCACATATTGAATTGCATGTTCCAGTAAGCACTTACTCAATCATACCAGAAGACCTATTGGCATATGAATAGAATAGGTTGTCAATCCGTTCCATCTCTTTTGAAGATGCCTTACTTGAAGCTGAATATCCAAAACAGAGAGTGCCAACTAATTAGTTAGTCAACCTTAGAACGGCTTGGTTAATAAATTTGAACAATAACTAAATGTTAAAACATTCTAACTATGAACTCAACAGTGCCATCTAAACTTTCATGTGAGGATTAGGAGCTTTATGTCATCTTTCAGGGTACGCTTAGGAAAATTACATGTTAATCAGAGGCCAAGTTGAACTATGGTTAGTAGAATCTTGAGGACTAAGTAATAGGATTATCATGATTGGTATCCTGGGTTGGTGGTGCATGCTTGGTTTAACAGAGTAAAGTTTAAAACTGGAAAGTTTGTACAGTTCTGAGAAAGAAGCCGTACGACACAGTTTTCTATATCTCCTTGCTCTTTGAAATTCTTGAATGCATTTTTTTAGCAATTCATTGGAGTTCTGGATCTCAAATGAGGAAGCTTTCAGTTTTGTTGCTATCCTAGTTGATAAAGGATTTATACAAGTGCTCTGGAAACCAATTCAGATTTCATATCCGTTGAGACCTGCCCATAATTCTCGGTTTGGTTGAAACAAAATTACTAACTAATTGTCTCCTACTCCTTTGAAGAAATAGTAATCATACTCTCCTACTCCTTTCTTAATTAGAAAATCAGCTAACCACAGATTTAAGTTCGAACTTATCAATCATATCTTCTTTCAGCTGCTGCCTCGTGCTCAAGGATTCTCTTCGAATTTTCAACTTCTCTTACTAAAACCACGATATTCGAACAGGCTTTTAAGAGTTTAACTACCTTAAGAATGCACTCAAGCTATTATCTAGCCTTAAGATTGACAGGCTGTGTTCTCTTCCAAGTTGAAACACGAGACTTTGTCTTTCCGTATTGTATCTAAAAATTTTTCTCCTTCAATTTCCAAATCTTGTCTCGATTAACTCTTATTGATAGCTCATCGTTATCAACAAAATTCACCAAAATTATATATATAATTC